CGGACCCTACAAGTTGCGTAGAGCACAATTAGTCGTCTCGAAAAATAAACGATAAGGGACAATTGGTCATCCCCTAAGTTAAAGGGGACAATTCCTCATCTCCGTAAACACAAATAATTGGATCATTGGTCATAACAAAAAGTTACATAGATGACAATTCGTCATCTGACACTCCACAAAATAAGGACAACTGGCCATATATAAATATCATATAGATGAAGTATAAATAACCAATTGTTGTCCTCAAATGAAATTCTAGGAACGATTTGTGGACTTCAAGTTAACACTATACAACTTGTTGACTGTATAAGAGGGGTCAATATATTGTCCCCACATTTTTATTGTAAAATGGATTATAGGGACGCATAAAATGTACCTAACAATTGGACTAATAAATCATCCAATGACTTGCCTTGAATTGTGGGGGCACTTCATAACCTTTGGTGGAACAACACTAATGTGAGGGTAGGCTAGACCCTCAACTCCCAAAACTATATATGTAAAATTATTTAAGTATAAATTAAGAAACTATTTTAATTGGACACGCCCTTAATTAAAATAGTAGTAAAATTTAAACAAAACAGAATATAAAATTATTAATATATTTCCTTTGCATTTGGCAAAAGAAAAACTATTAATAATTTAATATATTTCCAAACCTGGGATTTGACGAACAATAGAAGAACACGCAAAAAGGGTTAATACCTATAAAACAAATTAACAACGGAGATCCAGAACTCTCCATTTAATCTCAACCATTCATTTATATACATCTTAATCTCAAACGTCCATTCAACTTTAAGTACCAAGTAAACCCTAGCTTAATAATCCACTCTTCTCCTTCTCTCGGCCTAATATCTTCTTTCCCTTCTTTTGATTCTCTATCTTTTTCGTTTAGCGGCGGCACTTCCCTCTCCCTTGTCTAGCAATACTTCTTTCTCATCTTCGGTAAAGGCCGGTGATCGATGATGGGATTTAGATCAGTTACATTTTTGCTAGTTTTCGGTCATAAATTCATTATTGATTTTAGATTTATCTTTCTTGTACATTGTCTTTTTGTTTTCTTCTCCAATCAACAACGACATTGCAATCGGTGGTATTTTTTTTTTCACAACAGGTCGGTGGCAACGTTGCAGACACTGCTGTGGGCTGTGGCCATGTTACGTTTGAGCGGTATCTCCGGTGGCTAGGAATAGTGGCAGTGTTTAGGTGGATACGAGGATTGAGAAGGTGATCGCGTCGCGGCAGAATAACAATGAATGACAACACAATGCAGCCACAACACGGGTGGTGGTTTATTCTATTTCTTGTTGTATTTTAATGTATATGATAGGTACAAGCTATTAATTATTGTATGTTTATTATAATGAATCCAATTATGCACCACTTCAATTTGGTATCAAATTCGCTCAGCCTGAATTTTTGTTCGGTTTATTCAGTAGCTCTTCTTAAATTGGATGTTTGCATAATCTGGTCACAAGAAACTATCTTCAAACCTATTAAGTGGACCTAAGTATTCATGTGTTACAACAAAATTACCTAATTATTATTGTATGAAAAAATGTGTTGGAGAAAGAAATTTGTCGTCCCCCAAGCCACCAATAAAGGAACAATCTTTCATCCCTAGCAACATGTATAAGGGACATCATGTTGTCCGTAAAACAACTTGCGGGGACAATCTATTGACTCCAATTTGATATATAAGAGGACGACATATTTACCCTATAAAAACAAAAGGAGACAATATATTATCCCCAAACAACCGTAATACTATCATGAAATGGATTATTGGGGACAATATTTTGTCCCTAAAAATAATGTTTTGGGATGACTTCTTGACGCCAAAGTCATGACTATATGGGGACAACATGTTGTCTTTCATGGAAAAAAATGAGACGAGAACTTGCGAGTAATGGGGACGACGGTCGTCCCTAATAATGGGGACGACTTAACTTTTTGTCGTCCCCAACAGAATAGAGGACAAGAGTATAGGGAGCCACAATTTGGGGACGATTAAGTTGTCCTCACAAATTATAGGGACGATTTTTTCGATTTCCAGGGACGACTTTTGTCGTCCCCAAACCTCATCTTTTTTGTAGTGGAGGGAGGAAAAGGAGAAGCATATATACCAATAGAGTGATCTATGAAAAATAAAAAATGATCAAGTTTGTGGTCCTAGGTATCCATAGACAAACAAAGGCACCCTTTCTCTTTCCATTTAAGTGGATATTAGAACAATTATTTCTTTACGAGATTTATCGTCAATAATAACGATTAATTTGTTTGTCTCAAATGATTTTTCGGAAGAAAAAGACATGTGAACGCAAAATGAATTCCATATCATGGGTAAAGTTGATTTACTTACCAGTTACCACATACTTGAAGAACAAAGGGATCAATTACAAAACTTTACATCATAGAGGTTAGACTTGCTAAATGCGTGGATTATTACTAAAGATTATCAATGGGAAACTTGTTTCAATCTTGTAGCATAGACTAGATAAAAAGGCGATAATGAAAGACGAATTCTAAATCAAATTGCTTGACATTCTAAGCCCCATGGATAAGTACTACCACTAGCAGGCTATGTAGAACGTCACACACTAAATTGTAACTTTCAATTTGACAAATGACAACATGAAAGATAGGAAACGCAAGTAATATGGACTAAATTGGGAAAATATCAAAGAAAAAATAGAACCAACTCCAACAAAGTCATCTCACAAGATTTCAACAAGTTGGAAGATGGTGGATTTTCCTAAGCATGAATTGTTGTTGATAAAAGTCCTAACTAATTGTAAATGCACCAAAGTACCATTTTCATTAGGAGATTGAAATTAATAAGTATTGAAACTCATAGGGGTTTGCAGAGCACGATATATGAAATTGTATCATATTATATCTGTTATTGTTATAAGAACCGAACTAGATCAACAACTCGGTTAGTAGAACCACTAAACTAGTTATTATAGCAGTTCGGTTCATTTGATTGGACAATTAGGGATGTATCCAATGGTTTTTAACAATTTTACATGAAACCAGATAAATCATCCTGATTTGACTGGTTCACAATTTTAACAACAAAAAATTAAGGGGAAAAAACTTTAATGTAAACCAAGATCTTACAACCTCAAATCAATAATTTTCTTTATGCTTCCCTTTCTTCATCTTCCAGTCTATTTGACAACTTTTTGTGATCCACTACATATTGTCACCGTGATTACTAACTTGAATTTAGTATAAAAATTGATTGCTTTTGTGAGATAGTTTGAATACTTTGGTATAATTTTTTGGGATATATGATATGGATATGATTTTTTTTATTATTAGTGATAATTTCACTGCTAAATTAGTGTATTATATATGTCTTTTCTGTTATAACGCATGAATGGTTCTGTCAACTGTTAACCAATGGTTCTATTACAGTTAACCATTGAATCATCAACCACTTCCGATTTAGTATCCGGTCGAGTTTTGAAAACATTATCCGATGAACAATTAATGTATTGAAAAATTGTATGATTGCATCTTGGCTCTTGGGGTTCACTAACACTAAAGATCAAAGTTATCTATCCTCGATCCCCACAGATTGATATTTAGTATATTATGCAGAAGAAACTAGGGTTAGTACCTTAAGTCTGGCCCGGACTTTTCACAAATATATTACTTTGGCTTGTATTTTCTGAAATTCATATTCTGTCTTAAATTATGCACCATGTATACTATTTTGGCAGGACGGATTGGTTAACCATCAAGTTGGACGGTCAACACCGTTGACTCACGGTTAACACGCTAGATATCACAACACAAACAAAATAAAATATTACAATTTCAATCCATTAATTTTTCTAATTTCATTTATTTGCTTATTAAACCGTAAAATGAGGGGGGCATATTTTTTATTTTCATTTTAATTTTTAATAAGTAAATAAACAAAATTAGAAATTAATAATTGATTGAAATTAATAATTTTTTTATTTGTTTGTGCTGATATGAAACTGACAGAGCGCGTTAGTCGACGGTGTTAAATGTCCAACTTGACGGTCAACTATGCTGTTCGCCCAAAATAATATAAATGATGCCTAGTTTAGGCCAGAATAGAAATTTCAGAAAATAAGAGCCAAAGTAGTATATTTGTGAAAAGTTCGGGTCACATTAATGCATTAACCCAAAAAAATACGCTCTTGTAAACCATACGAGATTGACACAGTCTTAATCTCTCTAAGATATATTAGATGTTGGATCAATACGACGCTTTATAGACTCCCATTAATCTATTGACCGAAATCGCGAGGAGACTATTCGAGACGACATCACCCCATGTACAAAGTAACCGAAACCCATAAATTTGGAGGGGGAATGGACGTGGCCTTTGTACCAAATAGTACCACATTATCCATTTCAACTCATAAAGTCCACATCATGAACAGCAAAGGATCCCATCCAATTCTGTTCAATCGTTTACAAAAAGGATGACGCCCAATCTCATACGTCGTCCCAATTTAATGCTACTGGGGACTACTCTCTACATACAGAAAAGCTACGCTTCACAATATCACTATATGACAACAGCAAAATGCCACCGCTATGAAACTGATCCCACAATCAGAAAAAACTGAGAGGAAGAAAAACAGAGCATCGTGTAATTCACAAAACAAGATAGTGACCATCACACTCTCAACAGTACGCAGCATAATAAGTTCAGAGATGTGGAGGTGGCAACTACTAGGCAAATAGGCAACCATGTCAGTTGCATCCCTTTCTGAGATTCTGCTGTTTCCCTTCCTTGCCCCCACAAACCCCAAAAGTTTCAGAGTTCAACCAACATTTCGAGGTCTCCAAGAGACTATCTTTTTTATAACCCAGGAAATCTCAGCCCCACGTGCCGCTTAAGCGACAGCTGCCGGGAACGCACAAGTGGCGTCACTGGGAATCGAATTCGGGAAATTTGAGCATGTAATCTATAGCAGAGTAAACCCCATGTTAAGGAGATAAGTATCTAATCTAATCTTGATTGGACTTTTGAAAAACAAGCAAAAGAAAGTGGGATGTGATGAACACAAAGTAGAGTTGAGACAAACGTCAAGAAGAACATGATCATCATCAAGATTCAGGACAAAAGAACAACCAAACTACAAGTTGTTGTTTTCCTCCTTCCAATTCTTCTATTTACAACCACTCATCTCAAAGAGTGGTTCACAATGCATAAACGTGGCCATCTTACAAACCTCTTGACCCTTTTCACTACTCTTGGGCTCTTTTATTTTATTTTTCTCTCCACCCCACTCAAAGAAATTATGGGATGGGAACAAGCAAAGACAGAACCTTTTTCAGATTTGTGTCTTCATGTGAGCATTTTGATTGATGGTCACCTCCTTCTGTCTCTCACAAAAAACAGTGATAAGATGAACTTCCCCCTCATCTTCACCATCATCACTATCATGCAGATGCCACCAACCAACAAACTCACCTAACTGAAGGTCAAGGGTCTTTTCTTTTTTTGCACAACTGTGTCAAGAAATAATGGAGCTTCTGGGTAATCCTCTGCTAAGAAATATTTGTTGGGGACAAAATCCTGCCTCAAATTTGCTAATGACCATCATAATCTTTATTAGCAATGTGGGGCCCTTGTGATCAAGATGAATAATTGGAGCCATTATTGATGCTGTGAGGAGGGATTGCTGAGATGCCTTGTCTACAGAGTTCAGCTAGAACACTATCAGTGGAAGGAGGCTTTAGCCCCAAGGGCAATGGCAGCCAAGGCTTGCTGATGGCTTCTCTCACTACTTTGTCTATCACTTCTTCTGCCTGCAACACAACACATGAAACAAAAGTACAAAACTTAATAGGCACATCCTGTTCCAATTTTGCAATACAAAGAGTACATATGGCCTTTTTCCTGCTTAGGAAACTCCATGTGGAATTCAAAGATGAGAGCTTTCGTTGTCATTGGGCCAAAGGGTATGCGGGTGTGACTCATCCTGGCGTTTCATTAATTTGCAGAAGTACAATTTTACCAGAAGTGACGAAATATTCTCTACAATTTTGTTAAATTTGAGATAGAAAGTCCCTGTTGAACAAAAAAAATCCAAGAGGGTAATGGTCCTACTTCCTAGCATGGAAAGGCAAGGTTTTTGTTCAACTCCAGATGTTTCACAATTCCAAGATACTTCAAAAGAGACTGAATATGCATGGAACATTGTATAATCCACTTGATTTAAATGAACAGGAGAGACTAAAGTGCTCAGAAAAGAGTAGTTACCGGCTGTAGGTCAAAAGCATTTTGTAGCATACTGCAGTGATGGTTATCAGCAATGCTGGTGGCACCATAAAAACTTGGTTGATTCTGCATATTCCAATCGTCAGATCTCAGTACTGCAGCAAAGTAAAATCTACTACGGATATAACATGTATTCTGCAATATTCTTGTGCAGCAAAAAAACTTCCATAATGCACTCACTTGAGGCAAGCAATTATAAAGCAATTGTGGTGGTGGCTGTGGCATCACAGGGCAACCCCATGCCTCTGCATGCATCTGAAAACAACATACTACCCGAAATCAAAACTTGCTGCAGTTCTGAACTTAACTATAAATGGTACATGAGATCACTGTAAAGATGGGGACCAGCCACAAGAAAAAAGGAGCAAGTGGAAGTTCTCTTTGTTTTTACCGCTGGGTAAGGTTTCCAATGCCAACTTTCTGCAGCTGATGCTGCCCATGGTGAATAGCCAGGAGTACCCCACATCTGGACTCCAGGTAGGTGATTAGCAGCAGCAGCAGCAGCTGCTGTTGCTCCCCACATGGGGTAGACAGAAGAGTTTGGTGGAAAAGGATGATTAGAGTGTTGCTGATAAGGAGGAGGGTAAGCCATGATGGGTTTATGGGTGGGGTAGCAACTCCTTTTCGTTTGATCTTTCTGTTGTTGTGGCCACCTCCGGTCATCTGATTTCGGTAGACTGTGTCGCTTATGCATCCGGTATTTCTGCTCAAGAGAAAAAGAGAACCCGCAGTTAGATACTTAGATTTCACTCATGCTTAGTAAGCACGTTCTTGATAATGCAGCAAATCATGGTTTCCCAGCTGCTTGAACTATGTTGATTTCACAAACATGTTTGTATTGAACTCATTCTACGCACAGAAAAAAAGACAGACGACTGACCTGAAGATGGCTTGCCACGTTATGCCGAGTCAAGCCCTCAACTTTCATCAGCTCCAGGATTTTTGACGGGATGGCTTGATCTACACCTAGTTGCTCCACAGCCTGCACAAACTTTTTGTGCAGGTCAGCCGTCCAATCTACCTGAAACCCACGAAAACATGTATATAGTCAGCAACAAAGAGAGATGAACCACCTAAACTGGCCTGATAGTTATTCTAGGACACCTGAGGTTCATTTGTAATCTCTATTCTCAACGAAAGTTAAAAATGATGAATGTGGACTGTGTGTGAAATTTTCTCTATAGATAGTAGATGAAAATGGATGCTTATCTATTGGCTGAGTGGCTAATGAGATGTGAGGAAAAGTAAAAAAACAAATTTCAACTAGTAAACAAAGAATTGTACCACATTCATATAGCATGTGGTAACCTACATTCATGTTATCAATCAAACAACGAAATTCAACGATTCTGACTTGAATGCATCCACCAAATTTCAAATAGGTAGTTCATTATTGAACTATGCGAGTTTACCTTCATTTTCTTCCGGCTAGCTTTAGTTACTCCCGAAGTTCTAAGACTAGATGCTTTGGATCTGTCTCCAACACCTCCATCAGACTTTTCGTTATCAATGCTATTTTGAGCATGAGGACTCATGGGATTCTCGGCCCTGGTACCACTGGACAAATCATCCTCTTCTTTGATTTTTCCATCGCTTATGTTCTCAGTATCCACCTGAATACTCATTTCAGCCATTGCAAATGACGTTTCGACGAATTTAGACTCCCCCTCTTGCTCAGCAGTTTCTTTCTCTGTTGAGCAATTCGTATGGTCTTGACAATCTCCATCATCCAACAACCGTCCGCCTTGTTTCAGCTGAGGAGTAGAAGGAGCCGGGTACTTATCACTACCACTATTGTTGTCATCAATGGGGGGCACATTATTCTCATTTTCTGCATCATTATCAGATTTCCCATTATCCGCATCCTCAATCTCTACTTTGAGCTGCAACTTGGAAGCTACTGAATCTTCCATAGACTTCACTGATTTGGATTGGATGGTTGCTGTCCCTGCATTAAAGGCCTGCTCAGGTCTAATCAGAAAGACTTAAAAGACCTCGGGAAGATTTTTACCACTAGAGAGCAAAACCATGCCCATGATTAGGCTAAACCACAATGTACCTTATGAACAACATGCTGCCATATGTTCCGTAATTTGTCTTCAGAGAGTGGTTTATGGAGGAACTCCATTGCACCTAGCTGAGAATAGGTTGAAAAATTAGCATATGTTACAATGGAGAAGTATTTGTTTCAGTAACTTAAACCACAAGGGAACTAACGAATACATCATACATTGATATACAAGAGAAAAAACAATAAGAGGTGAATCTTACCGCAATGCATTTCATCATCGTGCTGAGGGAATCGATATTAGAAGTCACTGAAATGGTGAACATGCATGTGTTAGTAATTGAAAATCATTAAGTTTTTTGTTACTGAAGAAAGGAAGTCATAAGGAGAACGTGAAACTTACTAACAATAGGCAAATCCTTAGCACTTTCGAGGAACTTAAAACTCCCATTGCCATTCCCAACAGTCACCTGTGTCCATGACTCCAACAATAAGTATCAGAATTTAAGCCATTGCACCAAAAAAGAGAAGTGGTTTCCTCATTAAACTATTGTGTAACTTGGGATGAATGAAGCAACTAAGAAAGTCCATTCTGGTCACTATGCAATCAAACTAATTCAAGTCAAAAGAATTTGAATTACTATCAGTGTTCTCAAAGCACAGAATGAGAACATAGACCAAGTATATTACCTCAACAATAGCAACATGGAAGCTTTCAGGTTTATCCGAGAATGCTGATAAGGCTTCCTCTTCATTGCAGAAAGTAGCAACTGAATGAACAGCAAGATAAAAAGTTAGCCACTTAAAGAAGAAAAGAAGAGAATAAAAAAAGAGTGAGGTTAAAAAGCCAATAAGAGTAATAAAAGTAAAAGAGGGGAATGTCAAAGCAGGCCAAGCGAGAAAAAAGAGGTTCTTCCGGGGAAAAAGATCAAAAGATTAGTACAAGAGATACCAAAGAGGATTGTTCCTTTAAGATGGATTGCATGGAATTAATAGAAGCAATTGTTCCCCTACATTTAAGCATCTAACATTAGGAAATCACAATAGTAGGAAGGAATCAATGAATTCCATCTAACGGAGCACTTGGGGATCCTCTTTTTGGAAAGAAAAAGAGAACCATAGGGACCAAATATGGCAACCAAAGTTAGGTAAGGTAAATTCAACACCAAGAGTTACTACTTGGGGGAATATTGGAATCTGATCTGCAAAATGGGTATATATGGCCCAAAGAAAGGCAATCAAAGGGATCTTTTTCTAACCAGCATAGTCCATTGCCTCCAGCTTTGATCTTATCTCATCAGCTGAATTGATGTCTTCATCCAGAAGAAGGACCTTAAGACCCTTTGGGAAGTCCTTCCATTCTGACAAATCATTAGCAGTGCAAACCATAGCTGGTTTGGCATCGTTTCTTCAAGCTGCCCACAAGTTCTCGATCTCAAGGATTCTCAACATCCAAACCAAAACCCTCTGCACAAAATAAGAAACAGGAAATTTTCTTCCACATCAGAAATCATCACAAGTTTGATCTGTGCATTCACTTTAACTCTAAGCCAAGTTGAACAACCAACTGTAATCATGATCAAGAAAAAAGGTGAAAAAATACACCATCATTGCTAATCAAATAACAGATACAAACAGAAAGGAAAAATCCAGATTTCATCAGAAATTTTGCAAAGGACAAAAAAGTAGCAGTGATGCATGTATATTTTTGTTCTTTTGCCGACCCAGAAAGAGGAATACAGAATTAAGGATTAATTCATTGAAATTCTGCACGGTTCGAACAAAACCCAATTTCACTGAAACCGTTTCAAAGAAGGGTGGGAAATGTTGGAACACCATGTTTGGCTACTGCATCAGCCGACGAAGGATAGAGGGATATCCTCTTTGTAAAGATCCCATCTCAGCTTGGCATTTCCACAAACAACTAACTGACAATAAAAAATGAGAATGGTAGTAGCAAGATCCCAACAGGTGAAAGACAAAGAAAGGGGGGAACTTGCATCACAGTATTAAATTCTCCTTAAAGAACAAGGAAAAGCCAGCAACTTCTTACCCATATCATTTAATAAACTACAGAACAAATGCCAATTAGAGCAATGGAAAGACGAGAATCATGCATGCATAACTTCAAACTTTGCACAAAGAAGCATAAGTAGATAAATAGAGAATGCATAGCAGAAGGAATAATAAAGAAGCCTAAAGAAAATCATACTTATTAGTTCTTCCAGATATGCAGAGTTTCTTCTTCCTTTTTCCAACTTATTCGGTTTGCTGATTCAATTCTAGCTTCTGGGTTTGGCTCTGTATAGACCCACGAGAAAGGGGGAGGTAAAAAGGATGAGACTTTTGCAATGGGGTAGAAGGAGAAAGAGGTTTAAGGGAATGGGCTTTTGCTTTGTAATATAGAGAGGAAGAAGGAAGAAGGAAGAGGGAAGCTCTGAGAGTGACTCAGCTCTCTCTCTCTCTCTCTTCTATGTTTAAAGTGTTGGTGCGTAAGAAGACCACAGAATATGCAAAACCAGAAATGTGAAAATGGGCCTAGTACTTTCACAAGAAGAAAATGCTCGTCCCTAGTACTATCAATTTGGTCATCTAACTTTGATAACATGTGTGATATTGGACACTAGATTTAGTTTCAAAATGATTTGGAGGGAGAATTCACTTTTGAACATTTCACATTGGTGAACAACTATTGTTATGATAAAGTGGCTGGATATACATTAGTGTACATATATGTTCTCGTAAATAAAGAGATAGAATAAGTGTTTATGAACGATCTGTCACTAATATAATTAAAACATTGCATAATTTTTAACGATATTCGTCAATTTGATGTGTACATGTTGGCGATGTTGTAAATCTTTGTAACTTAGATTGTAAGGTAGTATATTTTGAAATCATATAAAAGGAAGGAAATTATGTTCGATTTTTAGTTTTTTTTTTATAATGGTGAATTGCATTAAACCAAAAAAAGGAGTACTACAATTAGGGATGGCAGGCCCGGGCTCAAATCCGGGTATCCGCCCGAAGCCCGCCCGATAGTGGCCCAGCTGGTTCTGGATCTATGGCCCGTCAACGGGTGGCGGGTGACCCGAAACCCGTCAACCATGGTTTTCGGGTGGTGATGGTTAGCTCAGTATCCGCCCCGCGGCCAGCCCGACGGTTTAACCGTGTACAAAACGACGGCGTTCCAAGGGGGATATATAAACTCTTAGTTCCCTTGGAGAAACCCTAGCCAGCCGCCTCATTTTCATTCTTCACCAAAATTTCCAGAAACCCTAGTTCCCTTTTTCTCTCTGCCTCCTCTCTGGCGATTAGCGATCAGATCGCTAGATAATCGCGATCTGGCCGATTTTTCGTCACTTTCCCTCATCAGATCCTCCATTCGACCAATTGCATGGCTCATAGAGCCACCATCCGACGAAGATTTCGTCGGTCGCAGTCCAAAAACGATTCGTTGCCTCGTTGGAAGTTCCAATCGCTGATTCTTCGAGAAAAGATAAGTTATTTCTGCCTTTTCTGGGTTTCTTATCTTTTCTTTCAAGAATCTTCCCTGATTCCTCGTTCCCCTAAGACCCTAACTCTCTACTGAGTACTGACTCTTCTTGTACTTGTATATATAGGGGGGGGTTCAGGTGGCAGAGCTCGTTTCTCACCACGCCATCTTCTGAGTTCTGAAATCGAGAACAAGAACACCTCAGTCGATTCAATAGAGAGCAGAGACCGAGGGATTTAGCCCACCGCCCGAGCCTCCAGACAGAGTCCAGGGTAAGTAACTTGATCTCGTCTATAATTTTTAAGATTTATGGGTTAGTGGTCTCATAATACAGACATGCATGCATTAAATTCCAGTTTTTCTACCTTGCTTTGTGTTTTTTGTTCACTGACTCTTCTTGTTCGCTCTTGTTTGGGCTAGGTTGGTCACTTGGTCTCGTTTGGAACTTTGGATCTGGTTTACTGGTTTAGAGAACTGAAGCAGAACAGAGACAGTGAGCAGTGAGGAGCAGTCTACTGTCATTGGGTTCTCGACAGTCCACATAAAACTCCAATCCGAGAAGGTAATCCCAGTCCTCTCCTAACTCCTAAATCATAATCCTCAACTCACTGTGTTTGACTGTTTGCTCATAATGATGCGTGTTGTTGTGACAATTAGTGGATTCATAATGCTAATAAGTAAAATTAATTGAACTGTAATCGTGATTTTGAGAATAAAGATGTTTGTTTGCAAGTTTAGTTAGTTACATTGTGAATGTAACTAAGTTAATAACTATTATCTAAGGCTTAATGTTCAGATGGAATGTAACTAAGTTAATAACTATTAAGTATTAACTAAGTCTTAATATATATTATGTTCAGATGGAAGGTGCTCCTAATGCTATAAATGTTGACATTGCTTCCAATGTCAATGCCCCTGAAAATGGTGTCCAAGTCCAACCTCAACCTGAACAACCTGTCCAACCTGAACCTGAACAACCTGGTAATGTTGAGGAGCTTGAAGCTCAACGTAAGTTAACTTCTGATGTGTGGCCTCACTTTAACCGAGTTAGGGTTAATGGGGTTATGAAGGCTAGGTGTAAGTACTGTCGTAAATCTCTTGGTGGGGAAACAAGTAATGGTACATCACACCTAAGAAGCCATATCAAAACATGTATCCAAAAGAGGATACATGATGGTTCTCAAAAAATACTTGGTCCTAACTATAAACCCTCTGGAAATCCACAACTCTCTGCTTCTCAATACAATTATGAGGTTTCTAGGAAGGAACTCTGTTCAATGATTCTGGTCCATGAGTACCCCCTTAGCCTTGTTGATCATGTGGGTTTCAAACGTTTTTGCTGTTCTCTTCAACCTCAGTTCGCTGTTCCTAGTAGAAACACTGTCAAAAAGGACATTTTGAGTTTGTATGGTGTTGAAAGGGGTAAATACCAGACCATTATTGATGGTAACCTGGGTCGGGTTTCAATTACAACTGATTTGTGGACTGCCAGAAATCAGAAAAGGGGTTATATGGCAATAACTGGTCACTTCATTGATAACTCTTGGAAGCTCCGTAACATAATGATGAGATTTATGTATGTTCCAGCCCCTCATACTAGTGAAAGGCTTGCTGATAGGTTGTTTGATTGTCTTTTGGATTGGAACATTGATGGTAAGTTGTCCTCAATCACATTGGACAACTGTACCACCAATGATTCCATGATTTTCCACATGAGAACTAAGCTTCTGAGCAGTGACTTGTTGCTTGATGGTAAATTGGTTCATATGAGGTGTTCTGCTCATATTCTGAATTTGATTGTAAGGGATGGTTTGGATGCAATCAAGGATGCTATAAATTTGATTAGGGAGAGTGTAGTTTACTGGAATTCTACACCTAAGAGGGTTCAAACCTTCTTCGAAGTTGCTAAGCAACTTAAGCTATCTTTTGAGAAAAAGTTAGTCCTTGATTGTCCAACTAGGTGGAATTCCACCTATCATATGCTCTCTGTTGCTATTCCCTACAAGGATGTTTTCTTTCGTTTGAGTTTGAGAGACAGTCATTACACATCAGTTCCTTCTAGTGAACAATGGGAATTTGCTTCTACTGTGATTGGGAAGCTGGAAATCTTTTCTGAGATTACTGAGTTGTTCTCTGGTTCCAAATATCCCACTGCCAATCTGTTCTTCCCTAAGATATGTGATCTCAGACTTAAACTGAATGAGTGGGGTCTTGATCCCAATCCTGTGATTTTTGGAATGGCTAGTCAAATGTCACTGAAGTTTGATAAGTACTGGGATGATATCCATCTTGTGCTTGCTGTATCGGTTGTTTTGGATCCTAGATATAAACTCCATGTGATTGAATACTATGCTGGAAAGTTTGGGAATACAGAAACTGGTTTGGTTGCTGAGAATATCAAGCAAATGATATGTGGTTTGATTCGTGATTATCAAACCAAAGCTGAGAACAAATCTGGTTCTGAATCTGGAACTTCTTCTGGTTCTGGAACTGCCTCTGCCACTGAACTTGATTTTGAACTCTTTGTAAGTCAAAGGAAAAAGAGTAAGACTTCCTTGATTACAACTGAGTTGGATATGTATCTTGCTGAGGATATCATTCCTCGCACAGCAGAGTTTGATCTGCTCTTGTGGTGGAAATTGAATGGTTTGAAGTATCCGACCTTGCAATCAATTGCAAGGGACTTTCTGGCAATCCCTATTACTTCTGTGCCTTCTGAGAGTGCATTTAGTTCTGGTGGGAGGTTGTTAGACCCTCACCGGAGCAGGCTGCATTATTCGACTGTGGAGGCAATGATGTGTACTAGAAGTTGGATAATGGAGGACATGCAACGAGGTAAAATGCAACTAAATCTCTCAACTTTATTGGTTTACATTTTAGAATAGTATGAACTCATTCAACTGGTTCTATGCAGATTCGGAGGCTGCTGTGGAGGGATTGGATGGACTCTTCTCAACAATGACACTCGAAGATACAAGTGTGGAAGAGGCAGAACCTGGTGGTAAGATCAATAATTCATTTTTCCATTATGTGTTCTAATTTCTATTACTTCATTGACGAATACTTACATTTGCATTGTTTCGCTTTTTCAGGTCCAGAACTCACCTTAATGAGATCACCATTTGCCCATGAAGACATGATTGGCAATCTGCTGTGGGACCAAGGTAAATGTTTTTTGTATTTGTTGTCATTGATGCATTATTCATTTTAGTCTTTACTAAGTACTAACTGAAGCATTCATCTTGTGTGTACTTTATTCAGTTTCAATTGATGATTTCTGGTCTGCTGGTTTACATCGATTGGAATGAGGGTCAGGGGTGGTCGGGTGGATGATTCTCAATGATTCAATGTTGCTGGAACCTAGATGGAATGATGCTGCGTTGTTGTTGCTTCTTGCTTGAACTATTTCAGTCTACTGTTTTTGCCTTTTTGGACAAGAATTAGACATTTAGATTTTGGGAACGTCTTTCTTTGGTTGTTTGGTTCATTTGATTTGATCACAAACACGAAACAGATGTTGTTTTTGGTTGTTGTTGCTTAGCTGCTTGGCTTGGCAAGCTTTCAGTTGTTTATTTCAGGTCTTTTTAACAGACCAGTCAGATTGAATAAAGTATCCAGTTTCCAGATTTTTTTTTTGTCATTTTCATCTTTAATTCTTTATTTTCATGGTTTGGTAGCGGGTATTATAGACCCGCGGGCACCCGATTAACCATTGGGGCTGGATATGGTTATCCATACAGGCCCGCAAGCCCGTTTGGGCCGGGGACGGGGATACCCGAGGCCCATGATGGGCGGGCAACGGATCCAGGGTACCCGGCCCCGATCCGCCCCGTTGCCAAGCCTAACTACAATCAAAACAGAAAAGGATAGCAGTAGAGGTTCACAAGGCTTGAACCTCCCCATCCTGAAAAACAAAAAAGGAAAAAAAAAAAGAAGCACCCAACTAAGTGGACCGAGCCACTCCTGAAGGGACTCAAACACAACATACAAACGCAACCAGAAACAAAAACAAAACAAAATCAAAAGAACCCAGCAGCACCAGGCCGCCCCACCTCCAACACAACACTACTGAAGCTGGAAACCAAACAGCAGCAACCAAGACATGACAGCAACGTTGGCCTCTCACTCCCCTTCGCAGATGCCACTCTACACGTAAATGCCACCCTCCTCTCCTGCATCCGAACACGCTACCTCCTCATGATCGCAAGCAATCAAATGATCCCATTTTCTTTAAGTCATCTCGACCCCGAAGCCCCCTGAACTTTGCCATTTGCCACTACCCACTCCATCGCGCTTTTAGCAGCTTTCTTGGGCACCACCAGCCATGTACACCACCATACCGCATGTAACACACACGAAGAAACCATTTCTCATTCTCGTCCGAGCAAGTATCCTGCTGCCCAAGCCACGACTTAATCACAATGGCCACATCCCTTCCCTTTTCACCTGGTCTTGTCCTGTTACAATAGATGAGTCCCCACAATTTTTACGTAAAAATCAATTCAATATCTATTCTACATCAATGAAATCTCTAACGTGGGGTGAAGAGAACGATCACAAACTCTTATATCATCGTAACAAAGATTTTGTGAGATATGATGTTTTCAAACCCAAAGTAATAAAATAACTAACATGAACTTTTAAGCTAAGTTTATAGAACAATTTCAAGAACATAATTAGTGTCCATTATGACACATGAGAAAAGTTCGATGACCAAACTGATATAACACGCCATCATTATTTGAATTGATCCCATAAAGTGAATCCATTTTCAGATTATTATTCCAAAATTTGTCTGCATCTTTTCTACATATTTATCCCCTTTTAAATTTTTTAGGTTTTGTGCTTTGCGAATTTGTTGGTGAGGGTTTTATTATATCAACAAAAAAAAATTAGAATAGCATTGAAATGTGTACACCTAAAAATATTTTTTTCCATGGATTATGAAATCATATTAAGAGATTAAACTCATAAAATTAATTAATTAAAACAGAGGTGCAATAAAATGGTAATAAAATTATTAGTAGTGACGTGAAATAAATATAAAAAAATAATATTTGCGTCTCTAGATTGAACCGAGTTCTAGAAGAAGAGGGGGAATACGAATAATAGTCCACCATATCGATACTTTTAATTATTTACTCAATGTATTATACCATTTATAACCTCGAACCAAATATTGAGAGGAAAAAAGAAAACCCTGTTAATTTAAACTACTACGACATAACTTTCTCACTATGACACTATCACTAGTACATTATTTACTCAATTCAACATCAATTTAATATTGGTATCACAATCCACTAACACGATAAAATACACAATATTTTCTGATGCTTTGAAAACGATCGATAAATTTTGTATCTTTTTTTCATGGATGCAAGAATATTATAAAAAAAAACATACTATGAGTCGTTACAATTTAATTATGAGTTAAAAAGCTCTTCATCACAAAAATCTTTTCCCGTTGCACTATGATTGCAATATGAACCAAACAATTATGTAATCATTAGTCTTTTCGTTTGTCATGAATCGCATTTGAAACATGAAAGGCCACACAACTCGGTTCTATCTCCTTTTGCCAAGAATTCTCTTTTTCTTTTTTTAATGAATCTTTTTTTAGTAAGTTCAAACTTGATCCAGTTAATAATCGATTGCTGAGAATGACCAGTTATATATCTGTTTGAGCGATTAACCACAAATACATTTTGAATTTACGTGAAAATAATTTACAATACGCTCATACATTAAATATTTTTTTTTAAAAAAAACTTACTTGGTAGAACTCCGAAATTTATCTAATAATTGTTATAAAGACAAATTTATTAAATACAAATGCATGAATTAGGCCTACTAGCTAGTTCTTTTTGTTTGAGGAAAATATGTGAATATGTAGTTTGGCTATAGCTTCACCCAAACTTGACCTCCAAATCTCCAATGGTTTGATCTGCTGAAAAAATGAACTGGGTTTCGCCCCAACCGCCACGTGCATGGCAAAAACCCAACTGACAACCAAGAACAGGGATCCATAATGAATCAAATGGAAAGGTTTTCGAAATCATGCTCCACATTCATCGACATTGAAACAAACATTGGTATCTCTGCGTAATGGATAGGAACAGATTAATGTGACATTGGAGCGTAGTTAGAGTCAGGAGAATCAGCCATGAACTTTAACCCACCTGGCCCAATTAGCAACATATAATAATGCAGCAGCATGCAGCAAAGCTAAGCTAACTTCAAATAATAGCAGCAAAAAAAAAAAAAAAAGAGACTTTGTTTTGTGGGTTTCCCAGGTGCATGAACAACAGAGACAGAGAGAGAGGTAAAGGTTTCACCCTGTGGCTAGCTAGCTGAGCTTCAACTTTTGTCATTATAGTAACTACTTCTTAGCCCACAGATTTCTCACCACACCCCATGGTTTTTTTTTTTTTTTGGTGGTTTGAATGATGGTGACAATGGTAAAAAGAGGTGGTTTTTTTTATATGGGTGATAAATATTAAATAGTTTATGCTATTAAGGTATTATTTGAGAAATTCGAATCTAAGATTTCCAGATTCTAAATTAGTGGTATTATTATTAGGCCAAATTCTTATTTGTATGTGTTTGGGATCTTTAATTTTTAGTTGAGATTTCGAAGGGTACATTGAGTAAGGTTATTTTAATTTTTCCAACTTCAACAGTACAATTGGAGTCATATAGTATGTCAAAATAATTGTCCTCACTTCCCACCAAAACACAAAATAATTGTCCTCGCTATAAATATGGATATATTGGCCTAATCACGATGGTGAAGAGCAAGAAATTGAAGTATCAATAATCCTCGTCGTAATGTTAGCTATAGTATGTATAATTAGACCTAGCTACCAGGCTACGAAGAAGAGGTACGATATCATATGAGCTGAGTATAGGGGTGGAAATCGGTACGTTATTGGTATTTCAGTATCAAATATCAAAATTCTGAATATTAAACAGTGACAATCCTAATTACGATCCCAATCTCAAAACAAATACACAGTATACCCAATCACAATCCCTAAAATTTTGTTCGGTGTTGGTTATACCAAATACCAAATTAATTTTGTTCAAAATTACTAATCAAATATAAAAATGGAAATGCTTGCTCCATAAACCATTCTTGAAATATATGGTGCCAACAACAAACTAAAGGAACAAACTAAAACAATGGATGAGTAAGCAACCCATAAACAACAAATAACCAAATGAGCTTGGAATGGGTTGTCAAATAATGAGGGAATGTGCGATGCATAATGAAGTGCCCATATTGACGGTTGAGGGTATGGTAGTAGTAAGTGAGGGAGCCTAGTTGAGAGGGATAAACCACTCACTAACTTATATTTCGGTATATACTGATCTCAATCTCATAATCCATAATATCAAATAACACTTAAAATTCAATCTCAAGTCCATAAAATAATACGTACATTCCGATAATAAAAAATAATAATAAATTAAGTACTATATTCGATAACATCTTAAATACTGGTACCAAACTTTCAGCCCAGCAGGGCAGCTCATTTATACCTCCTTATAATCATATAACTCGCTAGAACTTCAGATATTTGTATCATCAAAATGCACACATTCTAACAACCCAACTAGCAAAACCGCCCTCTAATTAGAGATTCTAAATCATGGTTTTGAAAGATGAAAATGGCGACACATGGAACAGGAAAGTGACATATGGTAGAGCAGAAGACAGGAAAAGGTTGGTTTTGGGACAGTGGATTTGAGACAAAGATGTATCATTGAGGAAGTTGAAGCAAGAACATGATGGTAGTAATTAGGGTTTGATTATTTTCAGGAATGGAGTTTGACATTATTTTCTCTTTTGGCTATAATTTTGTTCATTTCTTGTGTACTTTTTTTTTTTTTTTTTTGGGGTGGTGGTGGAATGGTATGTTCATGACTTGACTCCATAACCTAATAAGTGTCACCACCCATTATACTTTGTCATCGAACAATTATAAGTGACTTTTGCTTTCTCTTCCATATATATGTTGGGCCCAAAATTCTTGTGACATTATTTGTTGTGTTCTACTTCTACCTCTTTATAGCAGTTTTTCTTCCCCCCATTTCATTGTAAGATGGGTGAAAAATATGTGAAGCATTCATTCAAATCAACATTGAGCTAAACTTCAACTTTGTAAAAAAAAAAAAAAAAAACTAAACTTCAAGAGGTTTCTTTCTTGTCACAATTGTTGGTGTAAGTGACAGTCTTTAAGTTACCCTTCCTCTTAGGTCTGCCCTGCCCTTCTGTGTTAATGAGCTCCTTTTCAAGCAACCTCTTACATTTATTTCTTTATTATGTAAAATCGTATAGTATTGAGTAATTATATCAATGTAAAAATACGTTAAAAATCAACTCGAGACAACTAATTTTGCATACATTATATAATTTTTATGATACCTTCATCTTTATATATTAGACTATTGGAGTTACTAACCCTTCACTGATGTTCCACTAGAAAATCCTACATGAATGTGTAGCTCAATGGTCGAATCATCGATCAAATTTTACTCATTGTGAGACCATTACCACTTGTTACCACATTATTCCTTCGAATCATTTTTCATCTTGATTGAACTAATATAATCATAATCAGTGACGAAAATGAGATAGGAAACTTCATTAAACACGTGACTTTAGCATGATCGCTCAAACTTAGAATCTCATACTCTCATCAGTGTTAATTAATTTATACATAAGAACATAATCAGTTCAAAGTTCATTAAATAAAAATATTTTAGCATAATTAAATTTTTAAGGACTCTTGTCAGTAGGTGTGAAAATTGGTACGGTATCGGTGTCCCAATACCAAGTACCAAAATTTTGAATACTGAATTACTCCCTAAAATCAATCACAATCCCTAAATAATTTCATTATCCCAATCCCTAAATATTTTGGTATCTCAAAATGGTACTTCGGTATCCCTATCGGTGTTATCGAATAAGAAATTAATTGCCTATGCAATTAATAATTAAATATATAAATTCAATTTAATTGTTTAATTTAGGGTAAAGAGTTTTGAGTTTGCCTAGAGCTATGATATGGATAATGAGAATGGAAGAGAGGTGACATTTCAAATTCTTGTCATTGATAATCTTTAATTTGACGAATTGATGACTGAGAGACGACTAATACTAGTGTTTGCTCTTTAGTGTTATGAAAATAACAAGAGATTAGGTGAGAGATGAGAGTGACTTAAACTGGAAAGTCAAAATTGAGTTGGATGAGAGGGCTTCTAAGTTGTGAAAGAGTGAGGAATGACCAAAGGTTGTGTATTATATTTCATTAATTTTTAATTTTTAGTGTTTCTCGGTATTTCAGTATATACCGATCTCAATTCCGTAATCCCAAATAACGAATAGCACTCCAAAATGAATTTCAATCTCAATCCCTATAAAAATAAGCCGGTATTCGATAATAACAAATCGTAATAAATTCGATACAATATTCCGTATATCCCAAATAACGATACCAAACTTCCAACCCTACTGATTAGTTACTGAAAACTACCATTAAAAAGCTTAAGTGCTTTTTTTAAAGGGTCCTTAAGCAACTAACTAGCTTTCACTTTATATTTAGTGATCGACCACCGACTGAGTGGACTGCACCATGAAAGCAAGTCACATGCAGCCGATGGCATCCCGTGGGGTTCATTGGTCCAATCCAGATGCTTTAATGGAACCAAAGTGGGACCCACAAATTGCCAGCTCAACCTCTCCAGTTGGCTTCTTATTCTTCGTTGCTAGAATAACATCATTCGACGATCAGTATGAGGAAAAATATATATGGGTACTACAGAGCAGACATAGATGAAGAAAATTCAGAGCTTTCATGATTGATGCTAACCCCATTTTGGGCAGCAACCACTAAGACAACATTCAGGCAAATCAATATTGATCTGTAAATTGTATCCAACATAGTTCCCAAATCACATCTACTGCATATATAAAATCAAACAATGGAATAAATTAACTATGCATTGCCACCCATGAAGGGTTTTCACTTTTCCCCCCTTCTGCATCATGCTGCTTCCATACCAATTGAATCACTGCTAAGCATCCTGCATTCTGGCATTTCTTACCATTTCGTGGAACCTACTTTCTTTCTTTTGAATCGAAGTTCGGTCTTTTTCGGATTCACACAGCAGTTTATGCTTCTTCAATCCTCCCCGTCTTTGATGGCCTATTGTTCATCAGGTTCTGTGCTGTTGTTACTGGAGCTGCCAACCCAGTACTGTTTGACACCAACCAGTATTTTCTCGGGGACAAGGGGGCCGTCTTCATGATCCAGCATTCTCGTATCCCATCTCATGCCGTTGCTAATGCTCATCACCTCGTTCAGCACATCGACCTCGTCTCTTATCAATACTGTGCCTTCTGGCCGCAGGATTCGGTCCATTTCCAGAAGTATGTCTTCAAGATTGCACCTGTTGTTATCACCCACAGGTTGGCACACAGTTGATCAAGTACGTGTTTAAGAGTTGTGAGTTCAATTCAAGTAGTGGTATTGACATGGAGAAGTCGTAGCAGGTTGTATGTTTAATGATTCCTACACACTTCGAGTTGTAAGAAATTCAATTTTAATGTAAGATGCAATTCATTATGCCAAGCACAATCCTACAACGAAAGCCGCTGGGATGGTTTAGGAATTGGCTAAAATGAATTTAGTTTCTCAATTGATACCGAAGAATGGAAATCAAGGGCCTTTTCAACTTGTTGGTAAGGAAATGGAAACTGTGTTTAGAAGTAAGTGCAAAGAAGGAGACACAATTGCGCTTACTTGTTCTTGTACAAGCTAAACAAGTGGTCGGCATGAATAAGATCGTACGTCCTTGGGTATGTCGAAAATCCCTCACACCTGATAAAAAGAGAGCACATGAATTTGATTAGACGGCAACATGAACAAGCAAAGACATAGGTGTAGAAAGATTCAGAATCACACGTACCAGTCGTGATATATTCCAATCAACCCTCGTTCATAAACAACACCCAATGTGTTCTTCTCGATCGTAGGCACGACATTCATCACCCAGGATTTGGGCGATTCAAGTGCTGCTGCGAATCCACCAAGTCCAGCATTCATGTCCATCACATTCCTGTACCTTCCTGTGCCAATCAACCTATTGATTCTCTTGTAACCCTTTACACGCTTCTTCCAGAGTTGATTGTCCTCTAGGTAAGACTCTGCTGTTACTCCATCCACGAGCCCATCTGATACGCGGGAAGGCACTGCAAATAGCCTCTCAGGGAACTTCTTTAGCTCGGCAGCACCTCCAGTTTCAGGGTAAGGGGTTTTGCACTTCTCCATTTCCTTGTACCTGGAAATTACCAGCATGTCAAACCAAATGACATGACCAACAAGTCTAGAAAGTAAAAGGTATAAATATCAAAATTGTCTGACACTCCAATAAAATTCAAGATAAAATTCAAGATAGATAGCAAGTCTAAGTTTCAACGTAGATAAAATTCCATGGCTATAGACCAGTAACACAGCACCTGCATAATCATGCTAACTGCTAAGTACTAAACGTGCATTCAACTTACCAGACATCATCAGTGTCCGCTGAATTACACAAGTTGACAGACTTCTTGCTACTGCAGTTTTCATCACTAGACATTTTCCTCCAGATAGCAACATCACCCTTCTCATACTTCTTCTCCCAGCAAAGGCTTTCAGCAAGATCTTCGATCCTCTTCTGCTCAGCCTGGAGATCCTGCTTAGTTCGTTTCCACGTCTTGTAGTAGGTCTTCCAGTTGATGGGAGGACCAGAAAGGACCCAGTATCCTCCTGGTCTAAGAACTCGATCAACTTCCATCAAATAGATTCCCTCTGCAAAGGAAGTCATGGTACCAATAATGAGTATGAACCATGAAAATAGATAGGAATTAAACGAAAAAGACGCGGGGTCTTTTATAAAAAACACGAGGAGGATAGGAAAGAGAGAGCAACAAATTGAAATGGAAGTAAGAACACAAAGCTAACAGTGCCACAGTGCTTTCCAGATATAATATTTGCACAGTCCAAATTGAAATGGAAGTAAGAACACAGACTTGAGAGATGATATTAAGTATAGGATCTTATGGTCACCATTAAGCGGTGACCAGGTTCTTCATACGCAATCCATATTTAACCATACAACTTTCTTAAGGCTGAAAAGAATCATTATCAACTTTTATCTCCCTTTTGAATGCCTAGAGGACCTGGGAAATGCTAACTCGGGAAGTTAAACAACCAATATTCCAGTAGTGGTTTCATAAACACCTACCATTGGCCGTCCATGGAATCAAACATCTAGAGCACTGTGCCATATCAAAGGCTCTTGATGGGTATGGAAGATGCATTGTCCCAAGAACCCCAATAACAGCTGGCACGCCTCTCTCCAAAGCAAATTGCACTTGTGCTTCATGATTATCGCGAGGTGCAAAAGACATAGGCAACACATTTCTCTTCAGCATATAAGCTCCCCAGCTTGCAACCTAAAGAACAAGCAATCACAGAGGGCGTTCGGATGAATAAACAAAGGATTTTTAACGCAAGCAATCCAAATATGACCACACAGTACAGAACTTCATTACCCCACATCCAGTATCGAGTGCTGTTCTAACCGAGCCATCTGCTATCGGTATAACCGAAGCTAGCTCATCGATGTAAGCATCAGCGCCCTGTGGAAACATGGTCCCACCTCCTGGAAACTTGAACACGTTGCCCTGATACTCGACCCAGTTCTGATTAGCTTTCTCCACAGTCAAGCTCTTAAACGGAACATTAGCATAGTACACGTAGTCACGACTCTTTGGCCATGGAAATGGTGCGGTGTATCCCTTGGGAGCAGGTATTAGGCAGCGCAATTTCTCCTCTTCTGGAGGACAGTGCCTCTCCCTGTACGCCATATTCTCCCTTGGGAACTTCATCGCCCGATCTTGCTCCTGACAAGGTGTGTAGTCCGTGTACTTAACATCACACGGCTTGTACACCTTGCCCACGACTTTGGACTGCTCCATTATCTCGATGCTGTGATGCGAGTCAAAGTTCAGATTTTTTACAACGTCACAATCTTCTTGTTGAGCTATCTCCCTGGCTATGGTGTCTCCTTTCCCAAACCCACTTCTCTGCCATGTCCCCAAGAGGTAAAAGAAACAGCACAAGCACATGACAAGGAATATCGATATCGGGCTTCGTGATCTGATCCCATTCGGATTGTCCTTGATGCCCATTGTATTAGTTTTGGGAGCTCCCCTGAAGCAGAAGATGTTGCAAGTGCTAGTTAGTAGACCGAAATTTGCATGGTAGGTAGCTATGAAGCTACACAGGAGTAATAACAGTGAAGTAAAGCCATATATATGGATCAGAACAAGATATCTGTTGTTATTTATGAGAAATGAACGTAAAATATAGATCCTAAATCTGGAGAGTAGTTAGGACGTGATCTACATTGAATCCTTGTTGACTCTGAAGTCAAATTCTCAGTGATCCCTTTTTTTTAATGAAATTAGTTAGACCGACCACCTCAAATTCAGGAAAACAACAACCTTGGAAGTACATCCCTAATGGTTGTTAACAATAACTTCAGGAAACACTACAGAATCTGCAGTTAAATTCTGGGATCAATTGAAAGAACGAGCAACCGACCTTAGCAACATCAAACTAATGAGAATTTAGATCCCCTAATCAGATTTAAGAATCGAATTCAGAGAAGAAAGAAATCCAATGAAGAAAGAGAGCTAGTAGATGACGAAGTAAAGGGGGAAGTTGATAGGAAATCCAATGTGGATCACAACCCAAGTTTCAGATCCAATTCTGGAACCAAAAGGTGAAATCTTTTTTTCAAGTTTAGCTGAACAAGCCAAATGGCAGAACTACACGAACAAGAGGAAGAAGCATATAGCATGAATGAAAGAAAGCCCAAGTGATAAATGAACACCAACTACTCAGCTGCAAAATGGACTAAAAATGGAATTGAGCTCCAGCTGCAAAATTAAATGAATCGAACCTGAAAGAATGGGGTCTTTCCCCTTTCTGCACTAGTTTGAGCAGCAGGCAAGCAGAGAGTAAGTGTGAGATTAGTAAGTGGAGTGAAGGATCATGAAAGCGAACTGGTTGTTTTAAAAAGGGCAAATATGAAAGCGAGCAAGCCAAGCTGAGAGAGGCGAAGTAAAGGAAACGAGTGAATGAATGAATAAATAAATGGAGAGGAGAGGGGAATGGAAGACAGAATCGGAATGGCTGCTTTGATTGCTTGGTGACGGGTTGATGGCGGTGGCGTAAACGCGGTGGATTCGGAGTCTTCCGGTATAATCATTGGTAATCACTCGGGTTTTTACTGTTTCCCCTTTCTGCGAGTCTTCCGCTATTAGAAAATTTTCTGAGATAGTTTGGACTGTCAAAATCCCAGCAATTTTGTTTTGGAAATTTATCGAGTCATTTTTGTTTATTTTTAATTGAAAGGTTGTCAGTTTAGCCTCTTGGTCCGGCCAAGTAAGTGGATTGAGAGTTAATGGTATGGTCGGTTTAGTCTGGTTTAGCTTGGATATATAAAAACGATTAGTATATTGTTCATATATATTTATAAATTATATCAAATCTCGTTTAATTACTTGGATCCAACATATAACATTAATCCATAATAATAGGTTGTACTTGGATCCAACATATAATTAAAATTCACACACTTATATAACATCAATATTTAAACGTTCAACTTAGAATTCTAAAGATCGGGTTAGACAAAAAGGAAAATTGGAAAAGAGAGGCATTTCACCAAAAAAGAAAGGCATTTTGCAAAGAATAGGAAAAAAGACGTCGTGGGACCTCCAACCCGATAAAATTGCAACAGGTCGACCCGACGGATGTGTGTGGCCCGTTTTTTTTCACCGGACCAGAGTCAAAATGGATCAACCGGCGAGTCAACCCGCGAGTTGACAACCTTACTTTTAATATATCGCATGTGAATTTATGTTCGTTTATCTTTTGAAAGTACACATTTAATGAATTGCGGGAAAATCTGCATTTTTTTATTTATCAATAATTATAGTGGGAACTTTTATCACGTTCTTTTTATGGTAGAAATGCTAACTTTCGTTCTAATTTGATATAAATGGGTTTATCTGAATTTTAGTTTGTTTTGATCAATCATCTTCCTCGCTCGATCTTGATATGTGAATATTGACACACCGATTTATCTTTCTTTAACACCTTAAACCGTTAAACTTGTACCACAAATCACCAAACAAATTTTATGGTTTCGATGTGATCTCCTTAAATATTATGTGGGCCTCACTTGTACTTCAATCCTCTATTTTGAAGTTTTTTTTTTGACAACAAACTTCATTCATTTCATTCCAAACCCAAACAAGAGGGAAGAATTACAATTACAATAATGGAGCTACAAGGTCAGCAATGACAGTCCATTCCGGAGGAAGAAGATCAAGACGAGAGTTCCTTGCGATCCAATCTGCCAACAAATTGAGTCGACGGGGAACAAACTTGATCGAGATCCAAGGAGAAACACAGAGAATGGAAACCACATGGGCAAGGGTTGCCCTGCACTGCCAGGGCCAAAGGCTCGGATCCTGTCTCAACGCAATCGTTAGTCTCTGACAGTCAGACATGATACATGTTGGGACTGGATCCAGGGCCGCCAAGATAACTGCATTGAGAATTGCAAAAGCTTCTGCCTGAATCGGAGAGGAACAAAAGAATCTCTCAGCCCTTCCGTCGATCACCTGACCGTGGGAGTTAGCAATAGCAATCCCATAAGCCGCCACCTGTGCATCAGAAACAAAGGAACCATCGCAATGCACAACCTTACTGAAAGGACCAGACGGTGATAAGGTCGTCGACCGAGAACTCTCAGGCTGAGACGGCAAAATAGCTGACATAGAAGAGGAAGAACCTGAGGACGAGATCCTAGATTCTTGCACGTTCCGGACATCTCTATCAGCTAAAATTGCCATTGAGGACGGAGAGAACGCCCGACCATCAAAGACCAAACCATTTCGAGCAAGCCAAATATTCCAAAGAGTGCAAACAATCTTTGTAATCTGGTCATCAGTCAATCGATCTTTGAGGTCAAAAAACCACACTGCAAAGCTTGAGTCAGCCGCAGGAAGAACATTCATCAATCCCATTTGGGACCAAGTCGCGGATGCTTTGGAGCAATGGAACAAGCAGTGCACGATGGTCTCATTATGCTCCTCACAAAGCGGGCACAAAGGATTAGGAGCACACTTTCGTTCGAAAAGCCTCGCTCTTGTTGCAATTGCATTTTACCACTCTTCCAAATGAAAAATCGAAGTTTAGGGGGCAACTTGAGATCCCACAACCATTTCCAATCGTCCCTATTTGGACGAGATGAAGACACCTCGGCAGCATGCGAGGGAGAATCCCGACTCTCCCGAAGCATTCGGTAGGCAGACTTAACGCTGTAACCACCAGACTCCGTACAACTCCAAATCCATCTATCATTAGCGGTGCACGGGCCAATCGGGACTCGAGCAATAGCAAGGGCAATCTCCTCGGGCACAACATTCCTGATATCATCCATTTTTCAGCTCCGAGTATCCTGATCAATCCAATCACTGACTTTAGATGGCTCCAAACCCAAAGGAGAGAGACTAAAACCTGGAATGGAAGGAAGCCAAGGGTCGCAATGGAAAGAAGAATCCTCCCCTGACATAATCCCTCTAATCAAACCGCTCTTCATCTTCTCCTTAGCCTCGCAAAAGCCATTCCAAATCCATGAACTCTTACTCCCCTTTGCTGCCAAAAACAAATCGCCATTGGGAAAGTAAAGTCCCTTCAAAAGCTTTGCCCACAAGGCATCGGGGTTCTCAAAGAGACGCCAAACCTGCTTTCCAATAAGAGCAAGGTTGAAGAGGTGAAAGTTCTTGAACCTCAATCCTCCTTCATCTTTCGGTAATTCCAAATCCCTTGCTTTACACAAATGAATAGCCCTCTTCTTCATGGAACCAGACCAGAAGAAACGCTTCAGGATCGAATCCATTTTGTTCGTTAAGTTCAGAGGCAGCAAGAAGACGCTCATGATGTACGTCGGCAAGGCTTGGATCACTGCTTTTAACAGAACTTCTTTCCCTCCTGGTGATAACATGAGGCTCTTCCAGGATTCACCTTTCTTTTCCATTCGCTCCAAAAGAAATCTAAACGTTTCTTTTTTGGATCTACCCCATTCAGTTGGAACTCCCCAAATATTTATCATGGCACACTGCAGACGGAAATCCGAACTTAGTGCTCACAAGATTCTGAATGGCATGGGGAGTGTTCTTGCTGAAAAAAATAGAAGATTTGGAGGCATTGATCTCCTGTCCTGTTGTGTCTCCATAAGTCTCAATGATGGCCTTAATCCTGTCAGCTTCCGAGACACTAGCTTTGCCGAAAATGACAGTGTCATCCGCAAAAAGGCAGTGAGAAATTCTGGGGCAATTCTGGTTGAGCTTGATGCCTCTAATATCACCTTTAGAGATCCCTCTTTCAATCAAGAAAGACAAGGCGTTAGACATAAGGATGAACAAGAATGGAGAGATGGGATCACCTTGTCTAATGCCTCGGGATGGAGAGAAATGCTCAGTAGGGCTACCATTCAATAAGATAGAGAATCTGACTGTCCTGGTACATTCTCGAATCCAGCCCCGCCACTTCTCAGAGAACCCGTAAGCATGTAGAATAGATTCGAGACCATCCCAGTCCACTAGATCATATGCTTTTCTCATATCCAATTTCACCATCATGTCCCAATCACCAAAACGTCGATTATTAATATTATGCAACATCTCATGAACAATAATGACATTATCCTGGATAAGTCTCCCTCCTGTAAACGCTGCCTGCATTTCGGAGACCAAACCCGGAAGCCACTTCTTCATACGACTAGAAAGAATTTTAGAAATGATATTGTATCTGAAGTTGCAGCAGCTAATGGGACGGTACTGGGAAATAGACTTTGGGGCAAGAACCTTGGGAATAAGGGTGATATGAGTATCATTCCACCCCTGAGGCATAATAGAGGTTCTGAAGAAACTCATGACTTCACTACAAAAATCAGGACCTACTTTGCTCCAAAACTTGCGGTAAAACAATCCAGCAAAACCATCAGGACCTGGTGATTTTGTAGGGCCAAGGTCAAACACCGCAGCTCGAATCTCCTCTAGAGTCGGATCTCTATCAAGATCAAGACTCATTTCATTTGAAACCAGCCTCGAAAAATCCTGGAGGGCTCCATCATTAAGCCCTGATTTCTTTGTAAACAGACTTTTATAGAAACTAGTCACATGAGAGGAAAGATCATCAGGCTGGTAATCAGGTTTCCATAATCATCTTTCAGGGCAGAAATTCAATTCCGAAGCTTGCGAAGAGAGGTAGAAGCATGAAAGAACTTATTGTTCTGGTCACCGACACTGAGCCAATCCACACGTGACCGTTGGCTCCAAAATAATTCATCATCCTTCCAAATGGCAGCAAGCTCATTCATAAGGTTGTTTTCCTCTTCAACAACCTCCACTGATCGGTCAAGATGTAGGATGTCAACCAATCTCTTCTGGATATCCTCAGCCCTCCTATTTTGATCTTTGTACATTTGTTTAGCTCAATTGGTCAATTCCTTTTCACAATTCTGCAGTCTTTCATGGCAAAGGCCTCCACCATCCCAATTCCGATTCACAATCTCAAAGCACTCATCATTTTGAAACCATCTAGTGTCAAAACGGAAGGGAGTCCTTGATTTACAAGTTACAACGCATCCCTTCAAACTCCAATCGCAGAGGACTATGATCAGATTCAATAGGCAACTCATGAATAGTCAAGGCATTACTGTACGTTGTGAACCACGAGGTAGAGCACAACCCACGATCAAGTCTCTCCTCAATACGTCTCGTCTCTTCCTGATTATTCTTCCAAGTGAAAGGGTAACCCTTAAAACCCATATCCATTAAACCATTCCCATCAACAAAAGCTTTAAAGGGTACAGTAGATACGTTGCTAGGCACATTCCCCCCCCCCCCCTTCTTTTCCTCTGGGAAAAGCAAAGCATTCGTATCCCCAATAACCACCCATTTTTCATCTACACTATAGTCCTAAGACTACTAATCTGATCCCAAAAATCCCTACGCCGAGCAGGATCAGACGGCGCATGAACAAAGGTGATAAAAAGGCCCTCATTAACATCAACAAAAGCATCAATAAAAAAGCAGCTACTATCCAGAATTGTGATAGGTAACCCCGCCACCCACCAAAGAGCTAAACCCCCTGCCCTTTGGACCGGATTGACATGGAACTCATCAGCAAATTTCATACTCCTTCTCTTGGACTTCATATAGGATTCTTCCTTCATCGTCTCGGACAGAAAAATTAAAGATGGTTGGTGTTTCTTAACCAACTTCCTGAGATGACGAACTAGTAATGAAGAAACAATCATACATTAATTTTTGAAGTTGCTCAAAGGAGGGTTTTACATTTGAAAAGGAAACGCATGGAAATTGGGGGTTTGGGAGTCATTTTTGGGTCACTCTTGCCATTCCGTACTTGGAGAGGATGGGGATGTTCTATCCAACCCTTGTTCTGCCGACACCCTTAGCCGCCTTGAGCAGGTTAATTAGTTAACAACTTAACATGCAAAATTTGTTTTCCGGTGGAAAAACTAATCTTATGTTAACTTAAATGTGTCTTGACTTTTTGGACAATGATTATTAAGATATGGTTCATATTTATTTGAATACGGTTTAAATAAGAGTGTTTGATTTGTGATGGTTTTCTGGGAACAGAACTATAATACGTTGATCTTATTCTTATGGAGGTTTGGTGAGAGTTTCAAACTACGATTACAATTATTCTGTAAAGAAACGACAACCTTGACATAGGCGTCGAGTGTTTGATTTGAGAACCTTTTTCTATGTCGACCTCCTCCCCTATTATAGCAATGAGGTGGTAACCCTCACAGAAAACTTTCAGCTTGATAACTCCCACATAGAACTACTCCACTGTTCCTCGGATGTGGCTAAAGTGTCTTCAAATGTGGGATGAGTGGCAATTGCTTCCTCAACCGCCTATGTGTCTCTTTCTTATTGTTGTCGAAGTCTTGGAACGCAACTTGATTCCCTCTCATGTAATCGTGGCGAAGGGCCCATGATCATCTAGAGACATGGCCATGACCCTACTATCGAATGTCCACCTTGAGGCTTGAGGTGACCGCGTGGTCATCTTTCATGACTTATTGTGTTTCCCTAGACTAGGTGGTCGTCTCAAGACGCAACCATGGACCTCTCAACACACGATCCCCTCTTGCATTGTGAGCATGGACCATCGCGATACAACCATGGATGTCTCACGGCCACGACCCTCTCACCTCGCTGTCATGGTCTTCTCGTCTTGCGACGACGACCTTCTCATTTTGCGACCATGAACTTCTCACACACGATCTTGTGGCCACGAACTTCTCTCGATGCGCTCATGGCCCTCTTGTTTCGCGACCATGGATTTCTCCTGACATGTCCATGACCCTCTTATCTCGCGGTCACCGACTTTCTCTGGACTTTATTGCATTTCTTGATAACATGGCTTTGTGACCATGAGCGTGATCTCGTACCATGACCCCTTGACGAGAAGACCAAGCCTCCGTCCACTCATGCCCATACTCGCGTGGTTGGGCTTAATTATGATAACCATCTACACGGGTGATCGTGATTCGAGAAGATTAAGGTGTGCAACTACCCGACTGGATACCTGATCACACCCTTATGAACGATCATCGACTCTAAGAGTGAAATAATAGCATATTGAAAAGAAATCCATCGAATGAATGCAAGATGATTTATATCAACAGAATAAAGAAACACTACAACAAGGGATGTAAGAAAAGAATTGTTGGGCAAGTTACACTTAGATGCATCTAATCACCCCCCTTAAACAAGGAAATGAGTATCAGTAACCTAGTATTAACTATATACCATTATCGCCATGTAACAAAGGAACTCCTGTCTCATCATTCCCTGTTCGCTTGCTGACTGCCTATCTACCCTCTAACACAACTGAACAACAACGGAGGGAATTCGTAGGTCGGGGGGCATGCTGAGAGCCTGAGACAACTTCAATACCGACTTATCTACACTGTCAGAGGACTCTGAAACATGCTTCCTGCGGAAGTAACAACTACAGCAGGAAATGCCACCGGTTCGTCAGAACATCAGCCCTAGCTTCCGCCCTGTAAAGGAAATCAAAACCAGTTTACCTTAACAGATGTGAGTTACAAACTAACTGTAACCAGAAAGAAAGGCGGTTGGGTTTTGCAACAATCACTCTCAAAAGCTTACCATATTTGGAAGTGTGGGTTTGTTTATCAGGGTTTAGTTTGGTTACTGTTGCGTTTTTGGTTCTCTTCCCTGCAGAGCTCAAACTCCCTTCCACTACAAAAGAAAATGGAAGAGAAGACTACTGTGTCAGATTCGTTTCCCACAAAATTTCCCATGCCTCAGGATGTGGTTTTGACATTTCATAGCACAAACTTATTCACCACGATGAAATAAGAGTGTACATGAAGATGAAGAATTTCCTAGTTCAGTCACCAAAGAGCCAATGTAGAAAATAAAACGATATAAAGAAAGAAACTGTGCAGCTTTTATACCTTGCCATTCCCATACCACCTTTGATTCACCCTTCACAAGCTTAGGGTATCGGTCTATTCGAGAATCCTCCTGTACCAACTCCTCGACCTAAAATTTCAATAATTACATATTATCCTTGGAAGAGAACCATGACAAAACTAAGAACACTAAAATTTAAGTAAGAGGTTATCAATGTCCTGAACTGTTTGACTAGCAGAAAACCCCTATCAATTATGATCACATGGAAGATAGTCAATGGCTTTGCTTACATGGAGATCCCTAGCCAAGCTACTGTGAGGTAAACAAGGATAAGAAGCTTGCCTTTTTCCACAACAAAGGGTTTTTCCTCTCTTTGGGCAATAACAGATGATCCCGTAACAGGGAAGCTACCACCCAAGGTTCAAATTGGCCACTTTCTTTTTTGGATTCAATGGCAATCTCCTCGAGCATGTCGCATACCTTACAGAAGCATGACACATAATGTTAGTTTTCCTTTCCTGAGATCAAATAGCAAAATCGACATAGGAAGCTTGTTCGACTAAGTAGTTCAATGAGACATAGAGCACAATTTTTGTTTTTAACAGATGCCAACAAATTATCCAAGTTCAAGGGAGCTAACTAAAATGGACAATCGAAATGATGGTGTTCAGGTCCACTTATGAGTCATCTGAGGGAATAAAAGATAATCATTTTCCATCATGATACACTATTCCCATGATCTATCCACTCTTACAAGTACTTCAGCTGTAACTATGGTTTCATGTTCGGATCAAAGATAGTTCATCTACCGAGCAAAAACACAAAAGATGCTCCAGATAGCTGGATGAAGAACAAGAAACAGGATTATCAATCAAAAGATCTCAAAAGGAAATAAGTCACTTAGAAGCACTACCTGATGATACAATTCATCTCCTCTGGTTGACAGATAATAACTCTGACGGATTTTCCAGAGTAACCATGTCAATGCAACAACCTGCAGTTTTCAATACTGTAAGGTAGGTTCAAAACTGAGCAGCAGCATCTGAAGCAAAACCTTGAATAAAAAGTTCAATTACCATTGCACAAACTGGCACTATGACAAAAGCATGCTCAAAGATCCATTGGCGAACACGACAACTAACTGGTTTGTATCGTTCTGCCAAAACACTGGGGCACTTCAACTCCGTAATCCTAGAATGACAAAACATCAGCAGTAGTGAATAGAGAAGTACTCAAGCTTAACTAGACTTACGACTTAAGCTGAAGTAAGAATAATATACCCTTCAGGATTGGTGTTTTTCTCCAATGCTCGATCAATTATCTCCATTGCTTTGTTTTTGGCATACATGTAACTGGCATAATCTGAGCTGAAAATCTGTACCACTTGGTGTTTAACATCTTCCCACATTTCATTCTCTTCGACCTGGAATACATATGCACAGATTGCTGGGCTCTAAGAACTCATGGTCCAATATTTGAAGACAAGAGTAAAAAAAAAGTATTATGTACTAAGCTTCACACCATTGCCTGGTTTAACATACCCATATTCTCCCCCTTCCATGGCACGAAAATTGAGCATAGGATTGACAAACATAGCTTTCAACTAGATCAGCCTGTAGTTCGAAGCCAGTCAATCGAATGATTAGCAACATATGCCAGATGTTGAAGTGTATATTATCCATTAACGTGCATTGACTAGTGTACCAGAGTGAATAAGAATCTTAGAACGAACAAGTTTCTTAGCTCTTTCGTTACTGTCTCCATCTTCTGCACACAGATTCCCATTCCTCCTGTAACCATCATCACAGACTAACTTGCCTTCATGACACTCTCCATTCATTGGACATGGCTTGCAGGCATCTGAAAACCACTCAATCAAATATAATTAATAGAGGTCCCTACCACCTTCTCATAAAGCTACACAGTATACAGAGAGGAAATCCCTAGAAGGCACTGAATCAATCAAACTACTACTCCATAGCTTGAGCATGATCAAACAACAGTTACTAAGCCAAGCATGCTTAGCTTCAGAATCACCTCAATGGATAGCTAGAACAGGAGAAGACTTCAACTAATTCAGCCCCAGGAAGCACATTCAGAATAACAAATAAGAGCAGTGAAGCCCTAAAACTTTTTCCTACCTATTCCAAGTTCTGACCTGAGAGAAGAAAATCATCAGGGGAGCCCATATTATTGCTATCGCAAAAGGGGGTTTGCGAGGTTGGACTGAAGAAATTGGCAATTAGGTTGCAGGTGAAAGCCACGGAAGACGCGATGCCCACTACAACGAGGAGTCTGAAAAGCTCGTGCCTTGAAGGCAACAAGAATCCTGGTGGTTCCATGATAGAAGGAGAGACTACTTTCGACCGGAATAGGGGATTCGAGCGCTGTTTTGGGCGCTTTCTCGGCAAAGAAGACATTATTCTTACTGAGGGAGAAGAAGATGTGAGATTCCGGAGAGGGAAAGCTGCGACCACCAGTCGCCGGAGTTAAGGACGGGCAGCGGCTTGGTAAACCCGCGGGAAACTAAGTACCCGCCGGGTTGAACCCGAATACCCGATCCAATCTCCACTGGTGTGGTTGGGAGAGGTGGGACTATTGAGCTACAATGTTGAGTAAAGAAGGTGGAATGGAGGCATAATAAGCTGATCACTGATTAGGTGAGAAAAGGAGGTTAAATACTGAGACTTTGAGGAGAAAGCAGGGAAATGGTGATGGGTTTCAGGCCATTTTCTGTTTTGGATTCAGGTTAAATGTTAAGAAAAAAGGGATGAAGATGATAATGTGGTTCTAAAGAAGAGGGCTTTTGTTTCATGTTTGAGGAGATGGAAATTGATCGAGTCAAGTTTATTGGATGGTTTAGGGTTTATGCAGGCTGGGAATTGGCAATTGGGAATGGAACTCTTTCCTTCGGCGAAAAAGTTAGTCTCCTAACAGGCCATTTTGTTAGGAGATACTGACAGGGTCAGATTTTGGGCCACGTTAGCTTGGGCTTCATCCAACGGAGGAGAGTGGCAGCTGGGTGGTGGCTCACTTAAATGAGCTGGAGATGGACTTCCGTGTAGAAGCCGGCCCAGCGTGCGGCGCAGAAGGCAAGCCGAGCAAGTGGCTTGGTGGGCCCGGGGCCAGTTTGGGCGGGATTTTGGGTTGGAGTGGAAAGAGAACGAAATTTTTGGGCCCCATGTGATATATATGTATGTTTGTTTGTGCGGATATTTATTTGTTTTCAGTCGATATTATTATGTGTTGTGTTGATATTACTTTGCATCATTGTTGAAATGAACTAGTATTTTTTCTTCGCAAACCAATATTCATCATTAAATTAATATTTACCAAACCCCAAAATAACCCAACCACCCAAAACTGATTACACCAATTTAGAGTTAAGTTTTAGGGTTTATGGTTCGGTTTTCAATTTGTGAAGGATTGGAATATTGTTTCTTACATCAAATTAAACACACTAGGAAATTAAACACACTAGGAAGTCCTAACACGTAAGGCTTGCAACCTTAGTTAGGGCTGCCCGCCGAGGGCCCATGGGCCGAAGGCCCATTAAATAATAATAGTTTTATGATTTAGGGTTTGTGTTACGGTTTAATGTTAAGGGTTTAGTGTCTACAATTAGGGTTTCAGGTGTAGGGTTTGAGTTTTGGTTTCGGGTTTAGAAGAAAATATTGTGGAAATGATTTTGAACACAATGTATGGTGGTCAATTTTTGTGTGTGGTGATAAGATATTATTATGTGATAGGAGGATATTAGTTCATGATGTGTGGATATTTTTGGTGTGTAGTCGGATATTAGTCTAAGACATCCATATATTAATCTGTGTGTGGTGGGTATTAGTCTATCTGTGTTGGGTATTAGTCTGCGTGTGGTGGGTATTAGTCTATCATGGTGACGATATTAATTATGGTATCATCGGATATTAGTCTTAGAGGGTAGGATATTAGTCTGAGTGGTGTGGACATTTTTTTTATGGTGAACGGATATTAGTCTGGATTGGTTTGTATATTTGTTTTATGTGGTGTTTATCTATGTTTATGATTTAGTGATTATAATTTAGGATTTAGTTTTTGTGGTTTAGTGATTATGGTTTATTTTTTTAGGAAATAGGGTTTAGAGTTTATATGTAGTTGGTTGGGTTTTGATTTAGGTTTTAGAAGACGATATTGTGGAAATTTTTATGAATACAATGTAGGGTGGTTCGATATTTGTTTATAGTGATAAGATATTATTATGTGATGGGAAGTTAGATATTAGTCTGTGTGTGGTGAGTATTAGTCTATCATGGTAACGATATTAATTATGGTATCAGCGGATATTAGTCTTAGAGGGTGGGATATTAGTTTGGGTGGTGTGGACATTTTTTTTATTGTGAACGGATGTTAGTCTGGGTGGGTTTGGATGTTTGTTTTATGTGGTGTTTATCTACTTATTTGTATATGATTACATCAATTTAGGGTTTAGTGTTAGGGTTTAGACTTTAGGACTTAGAATTAGGGTTTACGGTTTAGGATTTTGATTTAGGGTTTAGATATTAGTCTGTGTGTGGTGGGTATTAGTCTATCATGGTGTCGATATTAATTATGGTATCATCAGATATTAGTCTTTAACGGTGAGATATTAGTCTGGGTGGTGTGGACATTTTTTTTATTGTGAACGGATATTAGTCTGCAAAGTCGGATATTAGTCTGGGTTGGTTTGGATATTTGTTTTATATGGTGTTTATCTATGTTTGTTTGTGTTGATATTTAGTTTAAACAAATCCGTAACAAAACAAAGTCGTTTTTTGACAAACCGCGATACAACTAGTATTCAGTGTCATTCCAACTTTGCAATCTCATAATCTAAAATCCGTAAAAGTACAACCACAAAAATGAAAAAGGAATAGTTCAATGTTGTCTTGCTTGGCCAAACTTTATATAATATTTTTGATCATATCCCTCAAAGCCCTCCGTGTTCGATCATGCCATTTTGGGGTGTGGATAATTGTTATGCTGAACGGATATTAGTTTGTGACGTTCGGATATTTAGGCTGTCTGGTTTGGATATTTGTTTTGTGTGAATGGATATTAGTATGTGATGGTTAGACATTAGTCTGTGTTGTTTGGATATTTGTTTTGTGTGGATATTTATCTACTTAATTTATATTATTGTTGAAATGAACTAGTATTTAGCATCCCCAAATCACAAAATGCATTCCATAACAAAACACTGGTTTTCAAGTATCAGGACACTAATATCTTGACCTCACAGAACAAATATCAGGACACTAATATCCATACATGGCAGAGTAATATCCTGATTGGGAGAAAAAAATACCAATAGATTACATAACTAATATCTGGACAACCAATTGCATACTAGAATCCACATCATCAACAAATTGAATCCCAAATACCCCATGTCTAATCCCAACTACATGGGCATTATAGTGCCAGAGTAAGAGATTAGCCGCAATGAGTGCTCCTTGTCTTCCATTATGCAAAATCCCTAAAGCACATACAAATATTCGGTAAACATAGAAAAATATCCAATAAAAAGCAGGCAAATATCCAAACATGAACGATAAATATCCAGACATAATATTTTTAATATCTCTACATCACAAAACTAACATAATAGAAGTAATATCCAGATACAAACAAATAAGTATCCAGACATAATATAACAAATATCTCAACCGCTCAAAACTCATATAAGTGAACTAACATCCCTATAGGGCAGAGAAATATCAAGACAGAGTAAACAAATATCCAGACATCACATAACTAATATCTGAATGATCAATTACATAACAATATCCACATCATCAAAAAGTAGGATCCCAAGCATGCTAATTGTTATCCACTATGAAAGGAACTAAAATTCCAGATCTACAAATCGAATCCTAGATCCCAACCACACAACTATCCATGCAATTGAAAACTGATATCCTTCATGAACAAAACTAATATCGGAACACACACCAAACATATCCACAAAACCCAGAAAACAAAGCAACCCAGATCTAGTCAAATCCACAAAATCCACAAACCTAGCAACCCAGACCCAGATCCAATCAAATCCACAAACTCAGAAAACATATCCACAAAATCCACAAAAGAAAGCAACCCAGCTCCAGTCAAATCTAAGTTAACAGAAAACAAATCCATCAAACCCATCGGGAAAAAAAGAAACGCAGGAAAAGAAAAACTCAGATCTAGTCGAAGCTATGCAACCTTAACTCAATCTACTCAAACGAACATGAGTATCCATGAACAAATGGGATAAAACTCTACTACCTCAGTCAACGAAGTAGTTCTTTCGTCAACAACCGTCGTCAATAGGGATGGCAATCAAACTCATGGTCGCGGGTACCCGACCGCCCCATACCCAGTCAACGCGGGGAATCCCCGCTTTGACCGGGTATGGGGCGGGTATGGGTAAAACCCGCAAAAGGTTTGATGGGTATGGGGCGGGTATGGTTTTAGCCTCCCCCGCCCCATACCCATACCCATACCCGCCCCACCAAGAGAATTTCTTCACATATCAAAAAATACGTGGATTAAATTGTAATCTATCAATGATGATGATGATAACTCGAGAAAATAAATAGTAGAAATGCAATTGAGTAACCACCTTAATCAAAACCTAATTCATTTCCCTCAATTCTCCTTCCACTCTTTCACTTTCCCCCTTGTCAACAAAATTATGTTAGTTAATTATTACTTAGTAAATGTATCAAGAGTTAGAGCATAATAATTTAAAAAATATTATAGTCTATATTATGTATTAATGGATGTTTTAGGATCATATTCTTTGAATCGTATTTAGAAAATGACCGTGTTTTGTTGACTTCGTGATATAATAGGTTTGTTTATGGTTATAATTAAAACTTTTCTTGTAAGTTTTAGGTATAATAATGTTGGATGTACGGGGATGGGTATTACCCATGGGTACCCGAAACCCACGGGTATGGGGATGGGTTTGCAAAACATTCCCCCGCATGGGTATGGGGCGGGTATGGGTTTGGGTATTTGAAGATGAGGATGGGGATGGTTTAGGCAAACCCGCTCCAAACCCGCCCCATTGCCATCCCTAGTCGTCAACCAGCCCTTCGTCGCGCGCCGCTTCGTCTGCACTGTCAAAATAAGCCCGCTTCGTCTGCACCTTAGCCGCCGTCAACCAACCCTTTCGTCGCCGCCGCTTCGTCTGCACCGTCGCCGCCGTCAAACTAACCTGGCCGCCGTCGTCGTTATCGGGAGAGGAAAGGGAGAGGGAGAGGAAAGAGAGAGGGAGTGAAAACAATTGATTTTTGGAGAGAGAGGGGGGGAAAACGTGTCTGGTGGAGAAAGATTAGAGATGGGAGGGTTTTGAGTAAAAAAAAGTGGTGTTTTTTGAATTTGGGGGCCTGGTGGGCCCCATTTTCTTTTTCTGTAGGCTTGGGCCAGCCGATGGACTCGGCTCTCCTCCCTCACATGCTGGCGCCAATCTACCTCCACCGCTGGATCGTGGCTTGAAGACATGGCTGCCCATCTAACCCTATCAGTATCTCCTAACAAAATGGCCTGTTAGGAGCATAACTAGATTGTTCCTTCGGTCCCTAGGGATTTCATCTCATTGGGTAGGGAAATTAAAAAGTTATTGGGTTAAATGTCGATTTGGTCACTGGAGTATGACGCCAATGACAAAATGGTCCCTATATTTGAAAGTTTAACAAGAATTTTATGGTCCTCCATCTTCCTCTCAACTTTTATCTCGATTAAGATAACCAACCAACCCTATATACATAAGTTAGCTACAAATTGCACAGACGAACCAAGCTCTGAAACTCTAAAAAAACCATGGCTCAGTTCTTCAGTTCCACTCCCACTCGTCTACAACGCTTACCATCACTACAACATTCTGGCCATTTATTTGGGAGCAAAACCAAGTTATAGTAAACCTCCCTAGTATACATTGGCAGCATCAAAAGTTATCAACTCCCCATCCTGCAACTTGACTGTACATCACGTATTCAAACTCCAACGCTTTCCTCGAGCCTCCAAAAGCTTCGTCACTGCTCGTTGTTAGATTTATTCACGGCACCTTGCTATCTTCAAAAGTACTGTCCAACATACACTCACAGATAGAGAACACTTACCTTTAGCTGGCTGGCTCATCATCCATTCCATATCTACTGTGTAATCCGTCTCTGAATGCTCAACCATGGATGAAGCCTCTCACACTAGAGTTCTTTCCCTTTTTCCAAGCAAGCTCTTGCTGGCCTGGCATTCGAACCAGCCGGAACTTGAACACAAGTTTACCGTTAGGTCCTGTCTCCTGCCAATACTCCTCCACAGTATACAAACCATCATAGACATAAATCCTACCTCTAGCATCAACGTTCGTACTGCTAGTCCCACGGATCACCCTCACGGGATTCTTCACTGCGATGCTAGTCTTCAAAGCAAGATTACCTCTCTCAAGCTTCTGATCTTCAGCTTCCTTCTCTTTAGTTGAGTTCCCTCCTTGACCTGTATACTCAAGCACATCGGAGTTGTCCACGTTATCATCATATCCACCCGACGCCACGATGCTTGTTGCTACGATGCCCTGACGATGTTTCGTATAATCGATCCCGCCTTGAGTCGGGCGATGAAGGCCGATGATGTTGAGCTCCAGCCTGTACTGAAACTTGTCGCCAATCACAACTCCTGGGACAGCTCCAATGATATGCTTCCCGACATTGAGACACATTCCTCTGGATTTAAGCTCTTTTGAGGCGAGAAAATCAACTCTTTTGGCATTACCAGTACCACCTTTGAGCTTTGATCCCTCGGCATGTAACAACTTCCTGCAGAGGAAGTGGAAAGTATCTAATACTTCCTTCACTTTCTTTCTATCTCTATCCAACCCTGCTGAAGTTCCAGGTCCAGGAGAAGTTAAGCTCACACTCTCACTGGTTTCCCTCCTAGCAAATTCATAATCATAGCCATTATCAGCATCATAAAGTTCTTCCCAGTCATCTTCCTTTGCCAAAGAAGCTGATTTCTTACTCTCTCTCGATACAACTTCCTCTTTAAGGTTACTTTCATCAACACGCAAGTTACTAGAGCTAGGTGCCCCTTTACCCTTGGACATCATCTTCTCAGAGACTGAGCTGTACTTCTGGGCAGCAACCGCATTCGGATTCCTTCTCATCCCATTCCCACTAAACTGTTTCGGCTTCGCTTCAATCCTAACACCACTCCGCTCTGTGATATTGCTATCGAACCTTCTCCCACTTGGAGCTCCACCATCCATATATACATCCTTAACCCTTTCAGCATCTCTTCTGACCTTCTCTGGCAATGGCATATGATTCTCCTCTTCGGTCTCATCCACTCTGTCTCCTTGCACCATGCCAGGAAGCTGAGCACTTCTTCCACAATTCGGAGGGAAGTGTCTAACACATGAAACCTTCCTCCTCGGTGGATACTTCCGATCTACCACCGCAGATTTCGCACAATCTTTCTGCTCAAGAGTATTATCATCTCTCTGATCAACGAAACCCTCATCTCTAACATTGAAATCGTTCTTCTCCAATTCTACAGAATCATCGGTAACGGCAACACCATTCGAGACTTCCAATTCACCCTCCCGCTTAGTATCCAATCCACCATTGCCACTAGAATCCGTTACACGACCATGGGACTCAATCTTGACCGAGTTACCTGGTGGTGATACTGTTGAACGGAAGTTCGGCCCACAATTAGGCGGCCAATGTCGAATCGCTGAAACCTTACGCTGCTTATACTTGGGCTTCCCCAATCCCACTGGTTTCCCTTCCGGATGAGCCCTGCCGCCGCTCGACGGCGAGGACACCACGTTCGTCGACTTCGCATGAATCGGATTTTCCACGAACCCCATTCCTAAGCTCATCAAACGAATTCCACCAATCTGAAGACGAACGGGAAATACTTTTCAAAGCATTGCTTGGGTAGGATCAGAAATGGAAATGGAATTCGGAAGCGGAATTGTACCTGTTTCGAATGGAAGGAGAGAAGAGCTGGGAGGGTGAAGGAAAGAGATGTGAGTCGAGCGCCTACGTGCAGGGGGAATCGCTATGCTCTAAACCAGTTCGGTGGGGAGTTTCTTTCCATTTTCATGCGGTTGAGTGTGTCTATCTGGTTCTCTGCTTCCGATCAGCTGCAGGCAGCAGCGAGCGGATTCTTCTCTCTCTCTGGTGAAAGAGAAGAGAAGAGTAGGAGAAACCGTTTCTCAGACAACCCAAAATAGCTGAAACGCTTCTCACCTCGGTTAAGAATCGAATCCGCTTTATTAAGGTTATACCGAAAAAGTTAATAATATTGCCTACTAAAAAACATAACTCAATCATAATTGATCTCTAAAATTATCTATCAACGAAACGACACGACATGATTATGCGTTATATCATCGTATCACGATATGACAGGATTTTACGGATCGAAAAGACACAGGCGCGACCCTCACTGTTTCACCTGCTTTACCAAGCTTCTCTATGTTCTGAACAAAAAGGTTCGGACTTTCACACTATCAGCACCAAATGAATGATTCCCAAAATCTCAATCAAGCCAATGGATCACAGAAAGCTGAACTCACCGTTGTTAAAATAACCTCTGGCTTCCTATACCGAACTCCTAGACAAGCATACAGGCTACAGCAATGGCGGTAACGACGAGTCGGACGAGCTCCTCCCAACATTAGTTTCTCTAAGAATTTGCCGCAGGGCATTTCTGCCGGGTTGTAGATAGGCCATTTGCAACTAGCCATCAAGAGAAAAGAACTTCCCCAGATGTGTTAGAGTAGTCAAAGAGTAAAGGAAATACCACATTGGTGGGAGAAGGAAAGTGCAAGTTGTTTTTAAGTTTGCCTTCCACTTTAGTTATTGGATAAAATGGTTAGTGGGTTTTTGGAAAAAGTGTGGGCTATTTAGTTTGACATATTAAATCGCACTTAGCACTTTTTTTGGCTACTTAATTAATTTTCAGAATTAATTGGATTTAAGTTTTGTGAAACGACGCAACCCTTGAGTGAGAAGGGAACTGTCGTTTTCTCAACTTATAAGAGACGTTGGCCAGAAGGTTGAGTTCCAACGTTCATCTTCTTCTCCTCGTTTTTCCTTCTCCAAAAACACAAACACAGAAGTCAGAAAGGTTGCTGCTTTCGGACTTTGGTTGAAGGGACTCCTGGGGGTGGTTTGCCTAATTCCTACCAGCAATGAAGTAGTGGGGGCAAATAACACTCTAAGGAGAGTGATTAAATCACGCCTTCAATCCGTTTCTCCATACTGTTTCCCTGACAAGATGAGCCATTGAAAGTTGAAACCAATCGAGAACTGAGACAAAAATCGAATCGAGTAGAACAAACTAAAAATGGAGATCACAAGCCAGACCAGATCGTGATTCTTGTCTCATTGGATTTAAGTTTTGTGAAACGACGCAACCCTTGAGTGAGAAGGGAACTGCCGTTTTCTCAACTTATAAGAGACGTTGGCCAGAAGGTTGAGTTCCAACGTTCATCTTCTTCTCCTCGTTTTTCCTTCTCCAAAAACACAAACACAGAAGTCAGAAAGGTTACTGCTTTCGGACTTTGGTTGAAGGGACTCCTGGGGGTGGTTTGCCTAATTCCTACCAGCAACGAAGTAGTGGGGGCAAATAACACTCTAAGGAGAGTGATTAAATCACGCCTTCAATCCGTTTCTCCATACTGTTTCCCTGACAAGATGAGCCATTGAAAGTTGAAACCAATCGAGAACTGAGACAAAAATCGAATCGAGTAGAACAAACTAAAAATGGAGATCACAAGCCAGACCAGATCGTGATTCTTGTCTCATTGTGCGGACCAAACTGTGTGGTCTTGTGTATAAACTGTGGTTTTCTATACAACTTGGTGGTCTGAATTCCGATCCTTACTTCTATATTATTAGAATATTATTTGTCATTATTATAATATACCATGATTTCTTTAAGTTTGATTCAGAATAGTGGCTGGTTGGGTAGACTCATGCATGATTAGCAACACATATTTTATATATTGGACATTTTTTCCTTATTATTCTATCCATGTGATTCAAAGTAATAGAGCACTTCTATTATGTTTTACAACATTGGTGATTTAAAATACAATTTGAAATTGTACCATAACTTTAAAAATACAAATTGAAGTTGTACCATAACATTAATGTACATCTTTAATTTGTACCATCAAAGGACTTGTACAAAAGCGTATAGATAGTTACGTACAACTTCATATTTTACCACAATGTTAAAAATACAACTTCAAATTATATCATAAAAGTAAAAACTAAAAGCACCAATACTTTTTTTTTTCCAAGTAAGATCATAGAACAATAGTTAAAACCTCTACCCAATGCCCCGAAAACAAGATTAATGAAGCCACCCTACAAAATCAAAGGACACTATCTCTACAGGGGACAGCAACAGGGCTTGTCTTGCCACTCTATGGGCAGCCTAGTTGGCAGTCCTCGGAACCGCACTAAACAGAATACACGAGGAACAGGACCTCAACAACTGGAAGCAATCTCGAAGCAAGGGCCCTCCAACCGAATCTTCACAGCAACTACTTTCAAGTTGTCGGACGACTACTTCAGAATCTCCTTCAATGATGACACGGGGAAGACTTCATGAGATGACAAGAGAGATGGCATCCCTTGCAGCCATAAGTTCAGCAAGATAGGGAACCGAAACACCGGGATGAAGGAAACCCAAGGCCAAAAAGACTTGCCCATCTGGACCTCGAGCTACGAGCCCTGACGAACAATCCGGAGCACGAACAGCAGCATCGAAGTTGATCTTGATAAAACCATCTGGAGGGCCAACCCAACGGGATGGGCGAGACGACTGGGGGCGGGGCGAGAAAACCAGAGGCTGGGAGGAGACTGAGGAGAATTCATGGACTTGGAAGAAAAATTGACGGGCAAGCGATGTAGCTAGTGGTTGAGTGAATTCAAAAACCACTTTATTTCTAGATTTCCAAATTCTCCAAAGGAGGCAAATGCAGGGGAGATAGTGGATTTGGAAGTTTTCTGAGTTCATAACATGTCGCCACTAGATACCGAAATTATCAGTTGGGGCGGAAATAATTAAACTGCTTAATCCCACTATATTCCAGAGATGGAGAGCAAGAGGACAATGGAGGAAGAGGTGCTCAATACTCTCTTTACCAGCCCAACAAACCGGACATCGAACTTGGCAATTTATTCCCCGAGATCTAAGGGCCGTCATGGTTGGCAAGATAACTTTCAAACATTGCCATATAAAGAATTTAAGCTTGGGTGGGACATCCAGTGCCCACGTTCTTTTCCATATTGGAGGGTCAATGATGGTGACCGTCTCTTTCTGTGTGAGAATTAAAATATTTTCCAATGCAAGATGATATCCTGTTTTAACTGAGTACTTCCCAGTTTTTGTAAAGTGCCATACTAACTTGTCTTCTTGTGGAAGAAAAGGCACTACCATGCTACGAATGATCTCAACTGATTTTTCTTTGAACCAGTGCCTTAACCTAGGGGTATGCCAATCTCGTCGATCTTGATTGATGAAATAGGACACTCTTGGGGAAAAGTTATCCTCATGCCTCTTAAGATCAGGGGGGCAAGGTTTATCTGCTAGTACCCAATTATCTTTGAAGGCTTCTACATTGGTTCCATCACCTATCTGCCATCGCAGGCCTTGCACAAGTAGTTCTCTCCCATACAGAATACTTCTCCAACCCCATGAAGGATTAGATCCAATAGTGGCTTCCATAATCGTATTTCCATTGAAGTATCTTCCTTTATATAACCGACTAATGAGCGAGTTAGGATCGGACCAAATACACCAGCATAGTTTGGCTAATAAAGCTTGATTGAAAGCCCTGAAGTCCCTAAAGCCTAGTCCTCCGTGGAATTTACTTTGGGCTAGGCCTTTCCAGGATACCCAATGGATAGGGTGATCCCAGTTAGTAGCCGAGCCCCACCAAAACCTTGCCAAGAGGCTATTCAGCCGTTTACACGTAGCGACTGGGAACTTAAAGCACATCATACCATGAACTGGTATATTGGTGGCAGAGGTTCTGATTAAGATATCTTTGGCCGCTCTGGACAAGGTACGTTGTTTCCAGCCTTGCAACTTCTTCCCAACTTTTTCCTCGATATAAAGAAATGTATCCTTTTTGGTTCTTGGGATCAGGGAGGGAAGCCCTAAATAAGAGTCTTGTTCTCCTATTGCCCCAACTCCCAACTGTGATCCCCAGTAACTAGCATCTTCACTCTTAGTATTTTTACTAAAAAGCACTGCTGATTTGGAGAGATTAACCTTTTGACCACTTAGTCTTTCATAACCTTGGAACAAGGATAATAAGTTCGAGCAGGAATCACTAGAAGCCTCTACGAATAGGTAAGAATCATCCGCGAAGAAGAGATGGGAGACCATTGGACAGGTCTGGCGTATCCTTATTCCTTCCAAGAAACCCAAGGTCCTTCCAAGAAACCCAAGGTTACTGCTTGATTTATCATTGCAGAGAAGCCTTCCGTGCATATGGCGAATAACAAAGAGGAGAGAGGGTCACCTTGACGAAGACCTCTCATAGGTCTGAAGTAATTTGAAGGGGATCCGTTAACTAGAATGGAATAGGAGACAGTGGTGACACATTCCTGAATCCAGGAGATGAACTGACAATTGAACCCAATTTCCTTCATCATTTCAAAAAGAAATGGCCACTCAATTCGATCGTAAGCTTTTTCCATATCGAGTTTTAACGCCATCCAACACTTCGAGCCTGAGTAAAGAGTTTTAATATGATGAGAGATCTCATGGCTGATCATAATATTATCTACAATCTGACGATCTTTGATGAAGCCATTTTGAGATTGAGAGATGATCGAG